GCCCGTGGCATCAGACTTGTCAGCTGTGGCGCTGGAAGCTAGAAGACAGGGCCACAGATCCTGAAAAATTCTGAGGGGAACGGCTTGCACTTAGAATTCCATTACGAGGTGAACCAGCCAACGTGTGAGCGTAGAATTAAGACATTTCCAGACACACAAGGAAGGTCTCAACAAATTTACCTCCCGTGTGTACCTTTTCTCAGGAAGCTTCTAGAGAATTGCTCTACAAAAATGAGGCTGTAAACCAAGAAAGAGGAAGCCATGGGATCCAGGAAACGGGGGACCCAGCACAGGCGAGAGGCACAGGGATTTCGCAAGATGGTGTTAAAAAGAAGCCCCAGGACCACAGGTGGGCAGCTGACCTGGGCACCCGCTAGGTCGGTCGGACGGACGGACGGACGGGGTGGGACGCTCCGAGAGGGAGCGCTAGACGTGACAGTTTGGCTGACTGGGTCGATCACATGAAAAATGGTTTTAATAGGGCTTTCGTAGTTCTTTTAACTAGTTCAGGAACAGTCAGTAAGAGATAAACACACACAGAAGGAAGAAATACAAGATACCAGGAAAAAACAAGCTATCAAACAAGATAGGAAGTGTATTCTTATGCTTCGTGACTCAGTAGTAACAAGATTGCATGGTCATAACGAACATAGAATATCGACGTATCCCCACCTCGCTCCTTAACCTCGTGGAAGGCTGGGGGCAGAAAGCTTGAGTAAGAGTGCGACATTTTTCTCATTTTGCCTAGTAGAAAGACATTAGATAATCTCTAAAAATGATAAACATCACTTCGCACACATTACGTAAATATGTGGAATCGAATATCAGGATTGAAAGTTAGAAGTGGTTTCCTCACCCCCTCCTCGTCCCCCCCCTCCCCTCCCGCCCAGCAGGATCCGACCCCCTTGAAGGGAGGGTGGCCAAGGGATGCTGGTCTTCCTCCCTTTCCTGAGCAAGCCACTGCATCAACCAAACTGGGAGCAAGTGTGGGGGCACAGGGCACGCTGCTCGCTCTGGCAAATGCGTATCTGTCATCGTAGAAGCACACACACACACACGCACACGCGCACACACACACACACACACACACACACAATGGTTTCCTCTAAGGGTGGAAGGTCATGGGTCGGGAGGGGCGGGGTAGGGTTTCTGGTTTGGGTTATAAGCCTTGCAGTGTTATTTGCTTTTTTTTTTTAACCTCTAGACATATATTACTTGGATAAGTATTAGGTTGGTTTTTAAAATTACTGAAATTTCAAATAGAGGTTGTAAAACCAAAGTACACATATCTTCCTCCAAAAAAAAAAAAAAAATGTCAAAAACAAAGAGGAAGAAGTCGATGGTGCTTTCGTTGCTGCCTTTCAGAACTAGCAAGTGTACTAGTCTGATGACACCCCAGGGGCCTGGGGACCCTCTGCCCGTCCCCCTCCCGCCAGCATTTCCTGTCGCCTGCAGCGGCTCCCCACAGTGAGACCTGCGGGGCCCCTTCCCATCCTGTTACAGCACCTGCCTCTTCCTTCACCTGGGCCTTGGCTTCCAGTGCCGTCGTGGCTCATCGTCCATTGACGCGTTAACACACACGCACGCGCGGCCCCAGTGCCGTCGTGGCTCATCGTCCATTGACGCGTTTCCACACACGCACGCACATGTGCGCACGCGCACGCGCGGCTCCCTCCCGAAAGTCCCGCGTACTCGCATCTCAGAGCAGACGGCTTACGACTCCCTTTCTCTTTATTCCCGTTGTGTTGCCCTTGGCCCCGCGCACCGCGCACCGCGCACCGCCTTAAATCACAGGCGGCTTTTAACTCGTTCTGTCTTTGCTAAGAGCGCAGAAGGCGACGTGGACGGGAGCCGGGTCGCACGGCCTGTTGTATGTTCCCCCTACAGAGCCGGTCACAGTGCTGACATTCCCCAGGTGCTGCCGCAGACGGTAATTACATTAATTAACCAGTCTTTCGTGAAATGCGAACTCTGTTCAGTCGCGTGGCCCCAGGCTCAACATCTGCATCCACGTAAATAAATATGACCGGAAGGGAAGGGTATTTTCATTCGCTTCTCTTTTAAGGACGCGTATGTGCTTTCTCCTAAGGCGGAGGTCGTGCTCAGGCCTAGAGGGTGCACTGCTCCCCAGAATGTTGGCTTCCTTTGTGCGGAACATGAAAAACTTGTCACCTGGAGGACCAAAGTTTTTATTGGAGCCTGCCTACGTTACAGGTAGCCTGGCACTGAGGAGAATGTTGCAGGCGAGATGTCACCTCGGCCTCCAGGTAGAGAAGCCCTTGGACTTGGCCCTGCACCTGCTGGGTGGGCCGTAGCATAGCCTAAGATGTGGCCGGACAAGAGGAAAGCTCTCACGAGGCCAGACCATCAGTGTAAACAAGGCAGTCGATAAATAACTCGATGACATGACATGGTCACCTAGGTGGAGTGGTGCCACCCGGTGCGCAGCCGCAGCTTCTCCCGCCTGATTCCGATCCCTTTTCTGCTTCGTTAGGCTTGACACCACGCCCCCCACATCTCCTCATAACCGCTGCAGTGACCATCCGACAACTTATAGCAGTATTAATCTAAAACCTTCCATTTATGGAAATAACAAAACGCCCACCCGTGTCACGGCGTTCGCAGACGGCCGAGTGCCCTGGGGCCGCTGAAAAGGCTCAGGTGGGCTCTGCAGGTTCCGACCTGGCCAGGGCTCCAGCACGCGATGCCAACGGCAGAAGCGAGTGTGGGACAGGTGGCCGCCTTCGCGTCCCTGCCCGGGCGGGCACCGCCTTTCCAGCGAGGCCTCTCTTAAAGGCCGTGTTTCTAATCGCAAACAGCCCCCGCCATGGGCCTGGCTCTTCCTCCATCGGCATCGATTCCTGTTTGACATGACATGTATTCGGCCCATTTGTTTATGGTCTGTCTCCCCTGCTAGAATGTGAGGCGCCTGTGGGGATTCCGTGTGTTCTAGTTACTGCCCTGCCCACCCGTGTCTTAGATCGGCCGGATGGATGAATCCGTATGAAAAAAATGTGTTGTCGGCACAGAACAGCTCTGGGAAGGCCACGCACACCTCACGGCGGTTCTCTCTGAGCAGGGAGACGGGGGCTTGTGGGAGGAAGAGGAACTTTCAATGTGCCCATCTAAGCGTGCGCGTGGGTCACTTCTGAGGATGAAAACACGAGCTTAGTGGAGAATCCCACGTAAAGCGTTTCTCAGATGGCTATGATGAACTATAAGTTGTTCAGCGTGATTGAATCTGGGCCTGACCACAAACACCCTTCGGAACCTCTCTGCTTTCCATAAGTCAGGTCTCACGTTCGTGCGCCGTGTGCTTGATGGAGCCTTTACCGACCTGGTCTCCCCCGACACAGTGGTGCCATCTCTGCTGATGTCGTAGGGGAGGCGGGGAGGTTAAGTCAGATACGTTTAACTTTTCAAGTCAGATACGATTATCTTTTAAGATCCTGAGTGAGGCGGGGAGGTTAAGTCAGATACGTTTAACTTTTTAAGTCAGATACTTAAAGGCCCTTACTTGAAGACCCTGAGTCTCAGTCCCCTTCCCTGTAAAACTGGGGTGATTTTTCCTATGAACAAAGGCTGTTCTCCAAACAAAACGCGACAAAGTCCTGCATATTCAGTGTCCAGCAGTGTCTGGATCAAGGCGGGCCTGCCTTTGCCCTGCAGAAGGTGACCAGGCCCGCAGACTCTTAGTGCTGTCCTTCGCCCTAACTTCTCCAAGCGTAGTCCCAGCAGCACCACGGAGCTTGTGAGAGACGCACAGTCCCAGCCGCCAGCTGCTCCAACGAATCGGAATCTGTTTTAAAAACGCCCAGGTGACTCCCGTGCCCAGTGGAGTTTGAGAAGCTCCGTTTTTACGTTTCTTAAGCAGTGTTTCAGACAGGCTTGTATGAGGAATCAGGTATATTTTTCCTGTATTGTCTGATACTTTGACATTTTAGGGCCTTGTGGGGGGGCACTGCCCTTCCCAGAGTTCCCTAATTCCTAGCAATAGCAAATACTTTGCCTGGGAGCGTGCTTTTGATATGCAAATCAACCAACCCAGAGTCCATGCCCCCACCCACCTCCTTTTATCAGGCCCCTGCAGTCCAGAATACCCCCCCCACCCCGCCCTAAATCACCCCAGGGCACAGGTCTGGACCAGTCGGAACCTCGCCTGTATCCCAGAACTCACTGAAATTATCTGAATGATCCCAAACCTGCTTACCCTGCCTTGCTTCGCCCCCTGTGGAAACCACGAGCAAGCCTTTCGCCCACACGTCCCCTCAATCCCTCTGCTCCTGACCAGCCCTGGTGCCACCCCCCCAGGGCCCGGTGTGGCCCAGCGTGCATGGCGAGCCCCCGGCTGAATCCGGGCACATTTTATAACAGGGCTTCCCTTTTAAACTTTTTTCCCAGTTCAGTGCCACCCGACACCCCCATCCGGTTTCCAGATGTCCGGCCGGGGCACGGCTAACAGGCCGAAGCGCGGGAGGATGCGTGAGCCACCCCGGCGGCCTAAACTTACTGCTAACTAAAGATGATCAAGGACGGCCATGGCCGAGACGGTAAATCCGCTTCCTGGGGCGTAGCCACGGTGAATGTCAGCAGCGTTCTTTCTGCACGTGCTTGGAACACTTCAGAAACTGCTGTGAGAAATGACTACGGCCTCGGAGATAAAGGAACCGTTTGATGGAAACACAAACTTATGTACAGGGTTCCGAGATGTCGGGAAATAAGGGAAGACCGGCCGTCCACAGCCACTCGATTTCCCCCGCGGCTTCTTAGCCCGGTGTCCGCGCTTTAGGCAGAAGTAACTCCCGCCAGGAAGCGGCTGTGACGTCACCGAGCCGCGTCCCTCCCGCCTTTGCACTCACTTCTTGTCTCTTCAGTTTTGAAAAGATTCTTGGTATGTGGAGGTGAGATGCCCGAAGCTGAGGTCAATAAAAGTAAATATTAAAAGAACATAAAAGGTGCTTCTCTCCCTATGACTCGCTGGGGAAAATAATGCAAGGCGTATCTAATTCAGAAATAGTCCGCATTTGTTAGACGGGATGGTGAGAACAGGAGACTGGGTGTCATAGTAACATCCCTCTTATAAAAGTTTTACTACAGTTTTATTAAGGAATTAGAATTTGCAGCTTTCAGTTAGAAACGTTAGACAGAAAAAGGTTTTCACGGTTTTATGACCGTCAGATTTGTTTCTATAAAAAGTAAACCCTCTCGCCACACACACAGACACACACAGACACACACAGACACACACACAGACACACACACACACACGGTAACTACGTGAGGTGATGGCTGCGTTAACTAACTTTATCAAGGTCATCATTTCACAACAGATATGCATATCAAATCACC